AGAGAGATAGATAGATAGATAGAGAGAGAGAGAGAGAGAGAGAGAGAGAGAGAGAGAGAGAGAGAGAGGCGGACAGAGAGAGGAATACTGAGTTTTTCATTAATAGGAGGTTGCGCACGCAAAATACCCCACGCGCTGGGCCGATTTAACCCTCCTACTGTAGTGCCCAGCCATTGGTCGAGGGCCTACAGTCCCTCCAAAGGAACTGAGCTCCTGGCCAGACAAAGGATGAATTGGCTTCAGTATGAAAAGTGTCCCCAAAACACGTGGGGACACTTTTTATGCTAAAGCCAAGTCAACAAATTTTTCCAGTACCAGGCGATGTTCAGTTTTACGACCTGAGGGCTACGCGGGTTGGGAGATGTGTACAGCACGTCAGAGGCCCAGGAAAAGCATCACGCAGCATATCACACGGCGTACCACCTCAGCCAAGCATGATAGGCCGAGGGTTCGCACGTGCGTTACAATGCACACAGCAGAGCCTAGGGTGGCTACTAGGTAAATACAGAACGGGCCCGGATAAGAAACGTCAAAAGAGGGTCGAGCCTCAATACCCTATTTTGGGCAGAAGGACCAGCCGAAGTCGGCCCAATTTCTAAAAACGGATTTCTTATTTCCTTGGGCTTTCGCACCCTGCTCATCTCTTGTTTCCTTATTTTCTTATTTTTGCTGGCGAAGAAAACAATACACAACGCCAGCACAGCAGCAAGGAGTGGCTGGTGGGTATAGCGCAGCCCGAGGGGCCGCGGGGGCGCGGGGGCCGCCGCGAAAATATCCTCCCCCCGCTACCAAGAAATATTACGTGAGCTAGGTAGGGGTCGGGAGCATGGCAGCAGCAGCATCATCAGTGTGGGACGTTTCTTGTTGGACGCGCTCCCCCAGCAACCCCTTTTGTTTCTTATATCTGGGGGGAATCGCGATGATGTTTCTCATTGGAACGTTTCTTGTGTTGTGGTCGAGATCGAGCTGAGCTTCTTAGCCCTGTTTTCTTACTTTCGTTAAAAGTTGAGCCGATTATTCTTAACAGAATTTTCTTAATTGCGGGCCTGTTCTGTAGGCATTTCAGTGCTGTGTCTCAAAAAGTGTCCCCATTTGGGCTTCCAGTACTACGAGGTTTAGACCTCGATTTCTCGGAAGGAAAGCATTGACGATGCCGAAATTGGCAGCACGTGTTGGACGCAAAGAGAATATTCCCGTGAACTTAATTTAATTTGTGGTCGAATCTAGGAAAGCACTACTGGAGCGGCTTCCGGCCGAAGGTCAAGCATCATATTGCCGATCATTTAGCGCGCGCAGCGCACTCTCGAAAACACGACAGGGAGAGGGAAGAGACGAGACGAGGCATCATGCCTTTCGCCGCATATGTCTTCGAGAAATCCTTCGATTTTAAAACGGATTTTACTTCTGGTAGACGGGAATCATGCGGATGGATGTACAGCAGTACTTGTACTGTGGATTTTGTCTGGGGAAAAAATGGTGCAAAGATGTTACAGAATAGTATAGCACTGTGAGACCAACAAACTTTCCCGATGGTTGGCGTCCCCACCGAGGAAGGCGCCCTTCCTTGTTCCAGACCCTAACTTACTGGTTATTCAGCATCCGAACACTGACTTTCCCTTGATGCCCTATGAATATGATATTCATTCCTGCTGATGAGAAGTCAAAAGGGATGTTCGAAACAGAAAAATAATTGTGGTATCAAGTTGTGGTAGTGTACAGCAGTATACCGAAAGGTAGACTTCACAACAGGGTACATACGCACTCACACACAAGAAGAAAGGCCCATTTCCGCTACAATTCACTAACCAAAAAGCATTGCTTCACCACCTACACTTTATGCGTCACTGCTGTATGTGGCTCTAATCGCATTTGTCCCCAGAATATGTTTCGTCTGTTTGCTGCATGCAAGATTGACATGAATGAGCAGGTGGTGCATACTATATATTAGTTATTGCGTGCCTTCTCCGTTTGTTGCGCGCATGTCCAACACGCATCGACAGAAGCTCAGGCCAGAGAAAACATGCTGTATAAGCAAATTAACGGACGCTCCAACCATGCCAAAGAACAGCGAGTGAGTGTGCAAAATCATGGGCAAAATGGCTTCTACTTCACACGCAAACAAACGTGTTGTGCGTGTGTGTTCATACCATCAACTGTCGCTGCTGCCAGAATCCTCCCTCGACGTTCTACGCCTCGTCCTCTAGCATGTTTGTAAGTTGGTTGAGCAAACCTCGCCCATACATACCAAAGCGGCTTAATTGCCAACAAGGGCATTCATGCATGGGCAATCGCGAGAGCCACTAACACCTGTAACAGGTGGCGATGCCGTCAACACTCAACATCCTACCCACTCCCCACGTGCTGCATGCGTTCCTTCGGCAGAGGCGGCACACGGGCTGCGGTAGAGACGCACACCGAGCACTATTTTCATGCACAGCAACCATGCTGGTTCCCGCTCGTCAGAGTATTATACTTTTCCATCCATTTACCCACCCTCCACATCCGGCCTCTTCCTGTCGAAACATACTTCCGCCAAGGAGGGGTTCGTTGGTTTCCTGCGTGCAGGGCGGACACACGAAGTATATCACATCAGGTCGACATGGTGTACGATTCGAAAGGTAGTGCTGGTCAGCAGTAACGGCAGACATGGAAGTATCTTCCGCATGGTCGTACAATATGTGTAGAACGACAGATATTTCTGTCAGAAAAAAAAAGTGTAACAGCGAGGCACCGTGCAATCGAAACGGAGCATGTAACATTTTTTAGGGCGTAGTTGCCGGAGCCCCAAGATCCAACGCCCGCGGTCAGTGGGGTTGGGTGAGGGAGCGAGGACTGGATCGTGATACACGGGTGGGATCCTTCGTTGCGGTGAGGCTCAAGAGTGTACGTTGCCGGGGTCATGTCGTCTTTCAAGGTACACATCAGGAAAAAATCACCTCACTCACTCTTCCCGCGGAAAATCTGGGCGGCCAACGCAGACATGAAAATTTTTATGACACCGCGAAGGCCTGAGCGTTGGAGTTCAAACGGTGTGAGGATTTCGTGTTCCTGTGTCAGCAGTACAAGCATGGACAGAGGTGACAGGTCACAGAAGATGATGGTAGTTCCCTTGGGTTGTTTTCTGTAGAGATCCAACCGTATCGATGCGCGTGCAGAACCCGCCGTGACAGCAGGAGCTTTGTCGCTGTGACAGCAGGATCTTTCTTCCTCAGCGGATAGACTACAGTTTAACCCAGAACGTCGACTATATCTTGGTTCTAGGGTTTTGCGTGAGATGTTATGTTCTGAGATGGTCATGTTCCGCGTTTCTCTTTGTTTGGTCTGAAGTTGATCATGACAGACCGCAATGCACAGGTGTGCATTGTATAGACATGACAGCTACATCAGTGTTCTACTGTCGAGTATAGCAAAGTTGCTCGAACGGAAGTGCCAACACCGTCTGCCACGCAGCCAGAAGTTGAGCGTCATCGCTGGGCTATTTCACAATGCCTCTCAGCACAGAGTGGTGAAAGTCCGAGAGGTGTGTCTTCAATTGCGCACAGTTCGGCGGGAACGCGATTTTTCCACTGTTCTACTGTGTTGGCACTACCCAAAAAAAACAGAGAAACGTGTTCGACTCAACTGATGCCATCGAAAACCTCTGATTTAGATGAGAGCGAGACGTGCAATCGACTTTTGATATATGTATTATTTTCCTGATCGCGTCGGAAGAACTGAAGAAGGGCTGCCTTGATATCCCACAAGACACAGAAATCACGAGGCGAGACGTCAGGGGGGCCTTTGCGGCAAACCAAGGGTCGAATGCAAGAGAACACTTCGTCACCGAGGGACTCACGAGTCAAGGCTAAACACCCAGACTTTACAGAAGAACGGGATTCCTTGGTCGATGAAGCAGCGCCATCAGAAGGAGCAGCCGTGCGAAGCGGAAGTACCATAGCAGAGGATCGGGACGGGAAAGTGAAATCGCTGGGCGCCGTGGCTGCAGGGACGTTAGCCTCCCCACGGAGGATGTTGTGCTACCTGATGCTCATCCTTGGAGCTTCGGTCTTCTGCATGGCGAGGTAAATATTCAATCAATACAAGTGGTACACCGAGTTTCACCTAGGGTGTTTCCCATTCTACGGCGCGTACAACATGCGGCCTTTTGGTGGAAGGTAAGCTATGAGTTTGTTAAGGACACCTTGTCGTCCCGTGGATTGGTCCTCGTTGTCTGCTCTCATTGTGTTCGCTTTCTTTTCACCGCAGCCTCAT